TGTTGTGTGTGAGTGCGGTGGGAGGAGGGCTTTCCACAGAATAAGCATCCGCTCATGTGGGACGCGTGTGAGAGGAGTGAGAGTGATTGCATTACCCCACTCAGCGTAAGTAACTCCTGACGGAGAACGAGACTGTAGCGCAGGAGTCTTGTAAAGCAGGCTAGCTTTAGCCCAGATTAAGTGACTGATTTGAAACGCTCTTCACGGGCAGAACCTCCTTTACGGCCACTCACTCAATACTCTAAAAGGCACAGTATTGCTATACCAGTATTGGATTGTTTTGGAATTAGATGTAACGATTCTTATCAATACATTAATTATTTAAGGGAATGTATTTATTACAATCAACAATTCTGAAAACAACTCGGAAGAAACATTTTAATGGGATGGTTGCAGTGCGTTCTGGGATTGCCTTCTCTATGAAGGAAACATGCAGTGGAAACAAAGCGTTATTCGTGTATTGCGCAACAAAGAATACATGGTTTACAGGCGGGGTTTACTGGGGGGGGTTCGAGTGCTGTGTTGTCTGGAGCTTCAGCTTCTAGCAGGGGCTCAACAGGCAAACTGGCCAGGAAAAGAGTGACCCAACACTTTCCCCTACGGAAAGGCCAAGGGAGAGAGAGAGAGAAAGAGGGATACGGGCCATCTTTGGGCCAGGCGTGGGAGAGGAGCTCGTATATGGCCAAACACTGGTCCAAGTCCTCGTAGTTCAGACCCTCACTGAGAAACGGGATGTGAAGCTCTGGGATCCGGGAGAGACTCGGAGTAGAGGAGCTGCTCTGTCCCAATGGGAAGAGCCCTGAGATGAGGGATTACATTTCCTGGCTGGCCTGGGAACGCCTCGGGATCCTCTGGGAAGAGCTGGCAGGAGCAGGACTACAAATATCCGGGAACACTTTCTATGAAGACCAAGCTTATAATGAATTATAGCTCCATTTTTACTTATTTATAAGTATTACAACTCTATAGATATTATATTATAAAGACTCATTAAGACCTACTGTATACTGCATTATAACAACAGTTATAGTTGCATTTATAATATTTTTATAATTACTTATAAGTTTCAATGCACATGCCCATAATCCATTATACACTGAATCATAGTTATTAATCAGTCTGTCGTATTGTTTCATGAATGTATTTATAAGAACACACCACAGCTATTAATAACAATATATTCACTTATTTGACAGAAATAAATTTGAGTTACTAAAAAGTCATTGCAACTATAATATAACATTATGTTATATTATAGTTGCAATGATTTTTTAGTAAGTCAGATTTATTTCTGTCAAATAAGTGAATATATTGTTATTAATAGCTGTGGTGTGTTCTTATAAATACATATTGTGAGTGATAATACAGTTACTAACCTCTATAAATGCCTCATTGACGGCTTTAAGTAAAGTGAAAACATAGGATGCAATTTTCCTAAATCAAATGTTAAGAAATCATGAAGATGTTCCCATTATACATTTTAAGTTGTTTACTTGTAAATGTAACTAATAAACAATAATCCCTGTAATAAAATAATGTGAAAAAACCCCAGAAATCATTAATACAAAAACAGTTGAGAAAAATATTACATACTAGACACTGCAACAATATTTTTTAAGTATAATTTCAAACTCTTATAAGCAATACCATGGATATGGATGAGGAGATATAGATTTTAACAAATCAAAATGAACATTCATGACCTCTAATGCAAACATTAGCCATTAAAGACATAATTGATAACAGCAAAATGTGCCTCTGGATCTATTTTATATTTGATCATTTATAAGTCAGTGTTTAATGTGTTATGAGCATGCACATTGAAAAAGCAAATGCATGACATACGTAATTATAAAATATAATATAAATATAACTGTTGTTATAATGCAGTATAGGTCTTAAAGAGTCTTTATAAATATATTTATAGAATTGTAATTCTCATAACTCCATATAAATGGGGATATAAGCTTGAGCTTCATAGAAAGTGTTAGCAAAAGCACAGACCACGGAGATGCAGGAGATGCCTTATTTATCTGACACAACTCACTGTTCACTCCTTTACTGGAACATTCGAATTCTACTATTCATATTCTGCGGATGTCAAGTCTATATTATTATTGTTCACACATCACTCCTCAAGTTCTAAACAAGTGTGTGGCTATTGGGATCTCTTTCCGTTCTTCTGGTCACAGGAGTCTACAGAGCTGACCTCCGTCCTCATCCAATCCCCTAATGAAGATGTGCGTCTGTCAGTCAAACGCAGGAAGAGCATGCTGAGCCATCTTTAATTCACTTATCCCGAGTCCGGGGAGTTTAATCATCGGGATGCACTGCCTGAGGCCGTCTGCGTGCCACTAAATCACACAGACCAGACCAGACGAACAAACACAGACCACAGACTCCACCATCTGCTTTATAGTTCCAGCAGAGAGAAGCTATTTGAGCGAAACCAAACCCTGGTCTTGACCAACACTGCAGAACAAGGGTCACCGTCACACCGAGCGACTGCTGTGAGAGAAAGCAGATGACAGCATGCCGTGTGGGTGAAAGGTTTCATCATCCCTGTTAGCTGCACCTGTGCTTTATAAGCGAAGTGTGTGGCCTGAACACTGGCTATACACTCAGCAGAGCTCAGAGAGAGCCCGTGTTCATGACAGGCACTAACATTTAGCTTTTTAATACACTAATAGCATCAAAAAGTATTTTCTTTGCTCTGTTTTACTGTAAATAGCATCTATCGTTATGTGCACTTAGTATCGTATCTTAATGTCATTATTATTTACACTAAGTGGAAATAGCAGGATTTTCTTGTGTCGAAGTGTTCATAGTGCATATAGTTGGAGATAACCTATTATTTGCTCCTCAATGTATTGTCAGATATTATAAAACAGTGCAATAATAACAACATATTCCGTGTATATGATTATATTGATTAAAATCATAAATGGATGCTGCTTTATTCTAGCCATAAAGTCCTATTCTCACTACCAGTTAGGCTTTTTATGTGTAAATATGTTTCTTTTTCTTTTTAAATAAATGCCTCTCTAAGCTGACACGCAATGGGGAAAGAGAAGAGGTGGATCTGAGCTTAAACAACCAGCACCTGCGTTCCTCTCCTCCAGACACTGATCCTGGTATCGGGTTTCTGTTGTCATGTTATCCGGCTCAATCAGACATCAGTGGGCGGAGTTTGTGTAAACGGCCTCTGGCAACAAGACGGCCTATTGCAGCAATTTGGACATCTTTAACCCTTTTGTCCTTGAAATATTCATCTGTCACACACGAAAGCTCATGTGAATGAATGTGAAGTGTTACTGAGGTGGGCTGTTATAACTGTTATAGGACTTTTTGCATGCATTTATTAAGGTAATGAAATGTACTTGTTGAAAATAATTGTTATTATGTCCTCCTCCATCACACCCCTCACTCACATCCATTTCATTAAACTTCATTTGAAATCAAGATGTAAACAAATTAAACATAACAATTCAAAAACTGGAAAGAAATGAAGAAAAACTAAATTTTGTATAATTTTTTCATTCTCTAATATAAGTACTTGTGTTTCAACCCTCCCCATCTTGTCAGCCATAATGCTATTTTATTATTTTTTCTTAAACATGAGGAAGAAACACCTTAGGGAACATGAAATATCAAATTACACCGACAAAGGCCGAGTGTGAAGCACAACACACACATGTGTGTTATAGACCTGCAGGAAACCATAACTAGGGCAAGGTTCAGTCTGTATGAATGGTTTCTTCAGAACAAATGATATGAATCTTCATCATCACCCTATAGAGGAAATGCTGGTCATGTTATCATTTCATATTGCTGAGAAGATGATATGATAACATTCTGGTCTAAACCTAATCCTCCACAAATAAAGGGTTGGATTGATGTCTTAAAAAGTATTTTTAATATGGAGACAATTACATTTTATATGAATTATCAGAAGGATTTGTTTGTTGAATTCTGGTCCAAATGTATAGAGTATATAACTCATATTGAACCAAATACATTGATTTAGATTGAATGTTTTTTTGTTCGTTTTTGTCTTTTTTAATTATGCGACTACCTTCCCCTTCTTTTGTAAATAGTTTCTGTGTTGAAACTGAGGATAACTTAAAGAGATATATTGAGGTGTTTGGTATTATGAAGAACTTTGTCACTGGAGAGTCTTGCTATTCCAGTTTAAGGAACATTTTTTGTAAACTGGTAAAGCTGTAAAAGTGACAAATGTGAACAGATTTTGATCCCTTTGCCATAACAAAACGTTTAAAAAAATACAATAAAAAAAGACTGGATTCCCTCAACGTTTTGCACATCGCAGAAATCACTGAATTCTACGCATGTTGCTTTCCCAAAAACACATTAAATTGACTGAAACTGAAGCAGATGTAGAGGTGACGCTCATATGGAGTGCAGTGAAACACCAGCTCACCTGTGAATGAACACAATATACCTCTAAAACACATATAGTAGTGCTGTAATGTGTGTAATTAGGCTCTGCAATATCAGCTTTATTTCGATTAATTGTGCAGCCATAACTTGATCTCTATGTGGTAAATGTACATAGAGTATAGCAAGTCCAGAACTGGCAAGGCAGCTTTAGTTTAGTAATGATTTGTGTGTAAACGAACCAGAGGATAACCTGTCCTGGCCACAGATACGCTATACCAAGACTGGATTCAGGCACAATGAAGGAATTCAAAAGGTCATTAATCTTTCAAATGATCATTCTTGTCCAATAAACAACTCTTGCTCTTGTGGAAACACTAAATAATACAGCTAGCAGTGAATGCACTAAAACAAAAGGCCACACAAACTTTCCCTTCATTACACGACCTCTGAATTATAGATCAGCTCTTCCATGCTTTGCTCGTGTGTGTGATCCGGCAGCAGTAACTGTGTGAATGGAGTGTGTAACTGGAGCGGCTGCCTGTGAGACTGTGGGGTGAGGAGAGACGGCAGAGATGCGGTTTCGGACGGGTTGGACTCACCATGATGAGTCCGGTGGCGATGGGCTCTGAACAGCCATGACACAACTCCCCAAATTTGGCCCAGTAGTCCTTCTTACAGAAGAGACGGCCGTCCTTCTCATAGTACCAGTGTGAGAGAGACGCCCCGCACTCACAACACCTGCGGATCAAACACCACACACACACAAGGTCAAAGGGAATCGTTGTCAGAACACTCATTCACTACACACCACAACACAACAGTTAGTCCAGCTGGAAATGAAGTCATGAAATCTTCTATTGCTGCTCAAGAGTGATGCATTCATGTTTGATCAGCTCTTCTCTTCTGCATTTCACACAAATACAGGCAAGCAAGCTGTCCTGGCAAATCACATTATGATTTTAGGGAATTTGTTCATCATTAGATGTTAAGATTTGTATTTGCTTATTTTATTTATTATCTTTTAAACTGTGAATAATTAACTTATATTCCCCTGGCCATTACAACTTTCTCTTTGTGGGTTTCATCACTTTTTTGAATGGCTTCTGAGGCTTGTTAACTAGAGACTCATTTAACTAGAATTATGTAATACAGAGAGGTTGTGAAGTCATGAGACACAACAGAGTAGATTCACAATGCAGCACAGTCTTGAATGACTTCTCGCTTTTATAAATGGCTACTCCCTCACTTACGTGTAAATATTAAAGGTGCAGTAAGAGATTTCTGAGAATCATTGTTGAACACTCTTGATATCTGAAATAAGCCCAAACAACCCCCCCCCCCCCCCTTCATTGCTCCGCCCCCAAAATGCACAAACACACAGTGCAAGAGTGGATGTATGTTTATCATAGATGAAGTGAAGCAAGATAATACTTCGCGAAAAATAAAGTGATGATGACAAAACGAAAAGAAAGAACAAAATGTGTATTTTCAAGCAAGAGCTGGTTGTTAGGTCACCAACAGCACAGCAGCTTCAGAAAAACAATGACACTCAAAACCAGTGTTGCTCACATATAGAAGGGAATCAAAGCAACCTCTTTCTAGGGCTGTACTCAACCAAAGAAAATCTTGGTCGACTGAAGTCCTGAAATTTTCGACTAAAAATGACGTTAGAAAAAAGACAACGTTAAATTAATTAGCTGCGCACAGTGCGCAGTACTTGGTAGCCTAAATGAATCATAAATAAACATAAAAACTAGTGGGCTATTTGCAGTATATTAAATTGTTTTGACCTAATTATTTTGCACTGAAATGAGTCTGACACACGAGTCTGTCGAGCCTATGATTTCTGAAAATAGTACTATGTTGTCTAGTGATATCATCACAAGAACTGTTGAGGAATATCCAACATAATTTAGACAATTCTTTTTGGCATATGTTATAATAATAAGTTATAACTGTCAGACACTATCATTTCAGCCGCTCTGTGCATGTCCTCGCACCGAGCGAGGCTGAACATGAGCTCAGCTTCGCCGCTGAGACACAAATAGACTATTAACTTAAAGCTTTCACTCTTAATAAACACAAAAGGCACGTCCACTTTAATAAAAAAAAGAATATTTATTAAACAAACCAGATCAAGAGCAGAAACTAAATAAAGTGCATAACTGAAAAATAAAGCATCTTAGGCTCAAAACTAACACAAACAGTCGGCACAGCGCAATTGCGCATTAGGCTCCAAATAAAAAATAAAAAAGTTAGGTTATCACACTAAAACATTGAAATATGCCAATTCTGATATGTTCATATAGCCTACTCAAAACAGACAGGGCAAGCTAACGTAGACAAGTGAGCTTACTGCTTTTAGATGATACGACATGTTTGTCGTCGAGCTGTGGAAAACTGTTGCTTGCTAACTTTGCATTCGACCTTTTTCCCGTTATCAATTTGAACAAAATGCTGCCACACTGAGGACTGACTATTAAACGCTCTCACAATTAAATAAATAATAGTCAGTATCAAACCTTCTATAGCCTACTTATCGTTCTCTCTTGGGTTGGGCTAATGCAAAAAAGGTGAAAACAAGGGGGGTGTTCTGAAGACAGACTGTTACCTGTGAAACAAGGATACTCTGAAAACACCCCCATTAGCAGTTAGTGCTTTCCACCTGATGAAATGAGCGCGGCAAATGTGATGAAATGAACGCAGCAAAACTGATGAAATGAACGCGGAAAAAAATCGACCAATCAGAATTTTGGTCGAACCAGAACGTATCAACCAATTAATCGACTAATCGACTGGGACAGTACAGCCCTACCTCTTTCCTGATCATACCCTTCTTTTTCCAGTGATTTTCTTCTGACCTTTTCTCTTTTGTAATGTCTCTCAGCCATCTCTCTTTCTACAGTCTTTCTTCAAATCTCCCTCTTGCTCGTTCTCTTTCCTCCCCATCATGAGTGACACGCCCCCTTCTGCTGATTGGCTCACTCTATCTCCTCTCCCATCATGAGTGCAGGGCTCCAGACTGCGACCAAAATTTGAGAGTGTGCGACTGAATTTTACATCCAGTCGCACGTGCGACCAGTAAATTTGTCCCCTTTTTTTTCCACGTTAAACGTGGAAGGGGCTTATCAATGAATCCGGAATGTGTGGCAGGCCAATGAGTGTGAGAAGAATAGGGAATGGCCACTGTAAGTGGCTAATGTGTGGAGGAGGAGGGTCCTAGAGATAATTGAGCGCGCGTTTAAACGTCTGTGGGAAAGAGACGGAGACGCAGACAACCTGCTGTGTGTCTGAGCAATGAACAAGCAAACTATTGACTCGTTCTTGCAACCTGCGGCTAGTGTGCCAGTTAAATTCACTTGCTGGCTTCCCAAATAATACATTACAACAGCGATAATAAAAAAAACGTAAACAAAACGATTACTCTTTGTAAACACAGTTCAATGTGAGTGCCAAATCTCGAACATGACCTGTCATTTACGGCGTCATCACCCGGGAGTTGATAGCGCACGAGCGCAGGCAAGACCTGAACTGCAGACGTTGCCATCGGTATTTAAACTAAACTCATTTAAGTTTTGCCAATGTAAACATTGAAGAGCAAGACGCGAAAGAGAACTCGCGTCTAGAAGATTTGTGCGCGTGTGTCTGTGCGCGCACGCGTGTGTGTGTATGTGTAGGTTACTCATCTCAGACAGCACGCAAATATTTAGTTCTCTTTCAAGTCTTGCACTTGAATGGACAAATTCACACAAAAAGTATGTAAACATGTCCGTCTTGATGAGTATCCTATAGCAGACATAGTCTGTTATGCCTTAAGTGAACTTAAATGGTCAAGAAAGAAACTCACAGTATCGTGTAGGCCTACTGAATCAGCTCTGAATTGAATAGCTTTTGTAACTTTAATAAGGATTAATCTTTAATTTATATAGTCAAATATACAATGTTATTTTACATTTGATTATTTTATTCAATTTCTGTACCTGAAAACTAATGTTGGACCTATCTGAAAAGCATTGTTTATTTTATTAGTATCTTTGCTCTATTGTATTTATTTGTGCTTTTGCTTGTGGTTTGATTATTTGTTCATATTTTCTTTATTTTATTTGACAGTAGTCTTTTTTCCCTGAACATAGCACATACCGAATCATACCGAAACCGTGAACCTAAAACCGTGATACAAACTGAACAGTGAGCTATTTGAAACGTTGCAGCTAGTACAGAGTCACAGTCGGAAGATGATTCAGAGTGAGGGGTTTTTGCGGCGAAAAAGGCCAAACCCACAATTTTCGTGAAGACTGGCTGCGAGACTTCAGCTGGTTAAGGTAGTACTGTAAGGAGACGAATTCAGCTGGTTAAGGTAGTACTGGAAGGAGACGAATTCAGCTGGTTAAGGTAGTACTGGAAGGAGACGAAACCAGCTGGTTACGGTAGTACTGGAAGGAGACGAACTCCATGACCTGCGAATGTTGCAGTCGCTACAGTAACTGCGGGGAACACGAAGTTTGCCGACAGTGCAGGCACTTCACAGTTTAAACACAATAGTTAAACACAATCTTAGCCTCAAGCATAGAGTATGCGGCGACATGTTAATAAATCAAAAAGCAACGCCACTGCCGGTTGCTTTTAGAAGACGAGGTTGTAACGTTAAATCAGAGGGCAAAGGCATTGTAATTTCTGCATCTATTATCAAAGTATTTATTAGTAATACACTGGAAATTAGTAGAAATGTGAATATTTGGTTAGTATGTTGATTTACGGTGTGTGCTCCTACATTTTCTGGTTGTGCCCCTTAAATTTTCAGTTGGGGGCCACTGTGCTCCTAGTGAAAAAGGTTAGTCTGGAGCCCTGGAGTGACACGCCCCCTACTGCTGATTGGCTCACTCTACCTCCTCCCCCATCATGAGTGACACGCCCCCTACTGCTGATTGGCTCACTCTACCTCCTCCCCCATCATGAGTGACACGCCCCCTACTGCTGATTGGCTCACTCTACCTTCTCCCCCATCATGAGTGACACGCCCCCTACTGCTGATTGGCTCACCCTCTACCCCCCATCATGAGTGACACGCCCCCTACTGCTGATTGGCTCACTCTATCTCCTCTCCCATCATGAGTGACACGCCCCCTACTGCTGATTGGCTCTCTCTCTCCTCCCCATCATGAGTGACACGCCCCCTACTGCTGATTGGCTCACTCTATCTCCTCTCCCATCATGAGTGACACGCCCCCTACTGCTGATTGGCTCACTCTATCTCCTCTCCCATCATGAGTGACACGCCCCCTACTGCTGATTGGCTCACTCTATCTCCTCTCCCATCATGAGTGACACGCCCCCTACTGCTGATTGGCTCACTCTATCTCCTCTCCCATCATGAGTGACACGCCCCCTACTGCTGATTGGCTCACTCTACCTCCTCTCCCATCATGAGTGACACGCCCCCTACTGCTGATTGGCTCACTCTACCTCCTCCCCCATCATGAGTGACACGCCCCCTACTGCTGATTAGCTCACTTCCCCCCCTCCCATAGTTGGTCTCTATGGGTGCTGCGCAGGGACATACACGGCACTGTTACTGCGTTTTATGACTACTGGAACACTGGATTGACTGGCCAACATCCACCAGCACTACTGTTTTATAATCTGACAAATCTAACAATTAGTCTTTCTCTGGTAGTCTGTGTCACCAGCATTCGGCCATACACCAATTACATTATTTTCCCATCGCAGCACCTGCACTG